CCACCATGGGGTCCCTGGAGGGGATCGGGCAGAGTGGGAGGCAGGACTCTGGTCTGGCGAGGAAAGCTGGTTGTCCACCTTTGCTCTTGGATTTATGTATCTTCACCTCCCTGCTGTCAGGGCCATATTTGTCAGAAGGGATGGAAGGACTGCTGGCTTCAGGACGTGCCCAGCCTGGCATTTGCTGTGGCTACTCCCAGGCTGCAGCTCTGGGCAGAAGGGCCGGGCTCGGCCACTAGGGCAAGCCCATATCTGCACTCACTCCTGAGCAGAAGGCGCTCGGGGAAGCCGAGGCTTTCCCTGCTGGGCCCGGAGCCCACACTGCACAGACACCCTCTCTGTGCTTCCTGGCCCACAAATGAGCAGCCCTGTTAGGTCTGCCCGGCTCGGGCTCCCCTGGCTGAGGCCGGACCCAGGAGGACGCCTCTCCCCACCTCACAGGGACAGAAAGGAGCCAGTGTTTGCCGGGTGTGGGCTCACAATAGGCTGCACCCTGGAGGGGGGGCCTTTCTATCAGCAGCACTTAATATTATCAGCAGCCCCCACTCTGGCCAGGAGCCAGGAGCAGCAGAGAGAGGGACGCTGCTGTTCCAGCTGGCGGACCTGATATCCTTGGGGGACAAAGGTAGACAAGCAGGAGTGGCCTTGCCCGGAGGAGGTTTCTCCCCCGCAGCTCTCTGGCTCCTCCAGGCTGGCCCCTTTCGTCAGCCAGTCCTGCAGCTCTGGGGAGTGTTTGTGCTAATAGACAAGGATAACTAATATTTATAGGGTCGCTATGAGTCCTAATCAACTTGATAGCCTGGGTTTTTTTTTTTTTTTTTTTTTAACGTGCGAGGAAGGCAGGCAGGGGTGGTTCAGTGGCAGAATTCTCGCCTTCCATGTGGGAAAACTGGGTTCGATTCCCAGCCATTGCCCCTCATGTGCAGCCACCACCCATCCATCAGGGGCGGCTTGCGCGGTGCTAACATGCTGAACTGGTTTCAGCAGAGCTTCCAGACTAAGATGGACTAGAAGGAAAGGCCTGGTGATCTACTTCTGAAAATCAGCCAGGGAGATCCCTATGGATCACAATGGTCTGATCCACCATCAGTCATGGGGATGGCACAGGACCGGGCGGCATTCTGCTCTGCTGTGCGTGGGGTCACCATGAGTCGGGCGCCAACTCATAGCAGCTAGTAACAACATGTGCCAGGCACGGTTCCCACTGCAGTGGACACTGTATACGTTAGCCCGTGAAGACCCTATAAAGTCGTTGCGTTGCCTTTGAGTTAATTTTCACTCATAGGAACCCAACAGGACAGATTAGAACTGCCCCATAGGGTTTCCAATGAGCGGCTGGTGTATTTGAACTGCTGACCCTTTCGGTTAGCAGCCTGAGCTCTTATCTACTGCATCCCCAGGGCCCCACTGAAGACCCTGTAGGGAAGGTATTATGATTATTGTCCCCATTTACAGACAAGCAACTGAGGCTCCTGGAGTAGCCCACCCAAGGCCTCTCAGCTGGCAATGGCAGGACCTACCCTCCATGACTGTATATGTATTTACTGCCTGCTCTCCCAGCTGGGCCTAACCAGTTTAGATGGGGTCTTCCCAGTCATTTCCTGCTTTCCCCAAAGTCTGCAGAAGGCTGCCTTTTCCACAAGGGAACAGAGAAAGAGAAACCAGGAGGCTGGTAGCCCAGCTCCATGATTGAAGCCACAGGAAGAGGGCAGGTGGGGTGGGCACTCGCCTAGGGGAGCCCAGAGGCAGACAGCATTGGAAGAGATGCTGTCCACCTCGCATTGCTTATCATGGCTGGTGGGTTTCAGTGAGTCCAGCCTGCCGGGCCCAGGCCAAACAAGTCCCACTTGTACCTTGGTAGTGCCACCCTGACTTCTCTGAGCCATCAACACATCCTGCTGCCCTCGGCAGATGCCAGCAGCACAGCCCACAAAGCGGAGACAAGGGGTCGCTGCCAGGCTCCCCACAGATGATGCCACCGCAATGCTGCTCCCCCGGGCACCAAGCCTGCTCCCGCTACCTCCTCCACCGTGCCCACCCTTAACCCCGCACTGGAGTCCCCAACTTCCTACCCAAACAAACGTCCTGGCTGGGGTCTACAGGATGTGTGGTTTGGCCCCTGCCCACCTCTCCAGCCTCGTCTCACATCTCTCACCTTCCTCCCCTGCGTGAGCCACCTTGCCTTTTCTCAGTTACCCAATTGCACCCTCTCACCGAAGGGCCTTTGCACGCCCAAGTCCCTCCGGTGGAAATTTCTCTGGATGCACACACCCCTAATGACCTCTTCTTACGTGTCAGCTCAGCAATTTCTTAAAGGAGCCTCCTCAACCTCCAGGAGCAGGTCAGGTCCCCCTCTTACTCTAGTAGCACTACCTACCACTTTGCAGCCTTTGTTAGCTGCTATCTCATTTGTTTGCAACTCTACTCTTTGATTAACATCTCCTCTCCCCACACACGTGACTGAAAGAAACCGAGGGCAGGTCAGGGTCTTTTCCATCCACCGTCATTTCCCAGCTTCTGGCACAGCACGCAGCAGGTGTGGGTACTTGATAAATATTTATTGTTTCACATGTAACCAGGGATGACAATTTCCCTGCCCATCATCATGGTATCGTGAGGACCAAAGGAGCAAACAGACATCTAAGCACTCTGCAAAGCCTGGACACTCTGGAGTGAGCTTTAGCTCTAAACCCAACCAAAGCAAACCCGTTGCCATCTAGTCAATTCCAACTCATAGCGACCCCACATGATGCAGAGTAGAGCTGCTCCATGGGGTTTTCTTGGCTGTAATCTTTTGGAAGCAGATCTCGAAGGCTTTCTTTTGCGGTGCCACTGGGGTGATTCAAACCACCAACCTTTAGGTTACTACTAGTTGAGTGCAAACTGTTTGCAGGGTCCTTGCTTTAGCGCTAGACCATATAAATACGTGCTCCATGGGTAGCAGTCACATTAAAATGGGAAAATCAGGTCTCGGGCACACGCAAGGTACATGACTTTTTAGAGCTGGACGGCAGTGATCAGGGCTCACTCAGGCCAAGGAAGTGCTCAGCGCTCCTTGGATCAATCTAGGAATGCTTCCTGGAAGAAAAGTCCAGGGCTTTGACACAGCTAAGCACTCAGTAGGTAGAGGAAGGATGGAGTTGCCAGACACAGGGGCCCTTCTTGCTCCCGCCAGGTGAGATCTGAGACCTGAACAGACCCTTGCCTGCCCTGGCAGCTCCTGGCTGCACCCCGCGTACCTGCTTATCCACTTTATGGGCAATGAGGGTGGCCCCTTCCTCCAGCTCTGCCACACTGATGGGCCTGATCCGAAGCGCCACCTGGGAAGGAAGGCCAGACCCCCAGGGTTAGCAGGTGGGGACTGTGCCAAGCCACTGAGAGAGGGGCGAGAGGGTCTCAGGGGTCCTCCCCCAGGCAAGCCCCATGGGTCTCCTCTGTCCAGCCATCCCCAGGCCTCTTTGTCTTAACAAACTCAGTGATTTGAGGCCACTGCCCAAGTCAGAGGGCAGCAGTCTACAGGGTGCCAGCTGTGTGTGAGTCTGAAGTCCCCAGGAGCCCATGCCCAGGGGAGAGCCCCAGGGGAGAGAGCTGTCTGCTTCTCGGGCTTCATCAGCCACCAGCCCAAATTAAATCCTACGGCTCCCTTAGGTTTTGCAGCTTGGTGCGTTGGCACTGGGACAGAGCTGTCTGCGCATCCGCGGACGATGTCCTGCACTGGGAGATGTAGGGATGGTGGCTGCGGACGGGCCGGCAGGTAGCACGGCGCTGGGGGCCTGGCCATCCTCATTTTCCTACGCCGAGGACGCTGTCCCTGGGGCTTCCTCCTCCCTCTGTTCTCCAGCCGCTGAGAACGGTGGGTCTTCATCCCAAAGACTAAGCGGGGGGCATTTCCTCTGCTCCTCAAGGCAAGGGACCTGCTGGGTGTGTGGGTTAACTGAATGGACCCTCACACCGACTAATAACTCATCACTGTCTGAGGGATGGAGGGACAGGCACCGCTTGTCAGATATCTTTACTGGCCTCGCTGGTCAGAGGGGAGAACTCTTCACCCCTCTCAGGGAGCACCTCACTTTCCAACAGATACATTCTAAACTGCCAGAGAGGATGTTCCAGACCCCAGGGCTTGGAGCCTGTGGTGAGGCTTGGTGCTGGCTTGGTGGGGGGGGCTGTCTCAGGGGGTGACATTATCCTCCAGTTACTTCACCATCCACCTGCTGGGGAATCACAGGCCCACCTTCAGCTCTGAGTTAGGGGGTTGGGAGGGGGCTGGGAGAGGGAGACACCCACCCCAAAGTCTGAGTCTCCCCCCTCATCACCTCTGACCTGCAGCACCAACAACCAAGAGCCTCGTCCTCAGTCCCTAGCCGCCCCCATGTCCCCCCGTCTCATCTCAGACCCAGGGCTCTGGGAGCCACCTTGGTCTGTTCCCCCTTCTCTGAATAGTTAGCCTGCTGACTCAGACAGCATCTGTGCTGCAGCCCAGTACCCACCACTCCCGACACCTCACCGGCTCCCCTAGCACCTGGTACTCCTGTCTGCCCACCTGTGGTCCCCACAGGACCGGGACCCCCAGCTCACTAGGAAATGGAGGTCCCCTATGCTCCCCACCTTCCTTCTCCGGGCAGCAGGTTAAGGCGGCCCTGGCCTTTTTGGACCAGAGAAAAGCCTTGCCCCAGAGACCCCTCTGCACAGGCTTTTGGGGTGGAGGTCCTCCAGGGGGAGGGTGTACAAAGGGGTGGGGTTGGAGTTGGGCTAACTTTTCAGGCCTCAGGAGGATGGCCATGATGCCTTGACCCCCATCCCCTAGGACTTGGGGAAAGTTGTCCTGGGCGGTCTCAGCCCTGGCCCTTGAGTCCTCTTAGTGGGATGGGGGAGAGCGGACTGGACACTCTGTCCGGGACCATGGAGGCGGACCAGGAGGAGGCTGCAAGGGGTCTCACCATGAGTTGCTGGTCCTTGGAGTCCCCGCTGTCCTTCATGCTTGCGGCGGGGGGAGGGGCTCAGGCCGTGACACCGGGCATGGCCGGGCGCACCCCCACGGCCGCCAGGTCCCCTCCGGGCGTTGCTCGCAGCCTCCTGCCCTGCTGCTGCCTGACAACGCGAAACCAACAACTCGCCCGCGGCCAGGGTCCCTGACCAGGGAGGCGGGGCCGGAGGAGGGACGGCACCTCCTGCCTCCTGGGTCCGCCCCTCCCGGCGCTGCGGACGAGAGCTGGCGCCTCCACCCGGTAGGCGCCCAAGCCTGCGCCGCTGTCCGGCTGTGCTGCCTAGGCGTCCACCGTCCTTGGCGTCTGTGCGTCCGCCGGAGCCCAGCGTCCGTCTGGCAGCTTCTGGGCGCCTCGGGGCCGGGGGCCCCTTGCCCACTGCCCTTCAGGGGGCGCCCAGCCGACCACGCGGCGTTCTGGGCAGACGGCTCTCTGCCCCCAGGGCCACCGTCTCCGCTGTCTGTCTGTCAACGTCTCCGGGGCGGCGGCTGGCAGCCTAGAGTTGCCATGGGCGCTGCGTATATCGCGGTGACCGCGGTGTCTCTGGCGTGGGTGTCTTCACCTCCCCCACTGCCCCATACCAGGGGAGGTAGGGAGGGAGAGTTGTCCCTTTGCCCAGGCTGCCCGCCCCAGTTACCGAGCGAGCAGGGAAGCCTCTGTATTACTTGGGGTATGCGGCGCGGGGTGGGGTGGGGTCACAGAAGACCAGTCTGTGTGTGTCCCGCTAGCAAACAAGGCTCTATCTTCACCCAGAATCCGGGACAAGCGGGATGGCTCCGTGTGGCTGCTAGTTCCCTGTCTGCGGGAAAAGCCACCATTCTGTGCAAGACAGTGTAAGTCAAAGCCGCGGGCTCCATTGTTTCTGGTGATGACAGCAGTTACACACTCAGGGACTGAAGTGGAAAGATTCCTGGCCTCAGGAGGCCCCAGGAAAACAGGAGTCTAGTCCCAGCTCTGCCTCGAATGGAGCCAGCCACACCCCCTAAGTTTCCTGGGTAATGTTGGCACTCTTCCCGGTTCTAAGGATGCATCTTTCTTGCCTTCTGCTGCCCCCACTGAAGCCAAGCCCAGCACCCCTGCAACAATGGCGCTCACTTCCGGCAGAAGGAGCTGGGCAAGAAAGAGCTGCTGTCCCCTGGGGCAGTCTGTGGTGGCTGGCACACATCCAGAGGTGGAGCATGATGGCACCTTCCACCCTGGGACTGGCTTCCCAGGCTGCCCTCAGAAGCCTGTGTTAGGTATGATTATTAATAAACAGTGGCAGGCAAGCAGCCTATGGCCTTGGATTTGATAAATAAATAGATGCCGTCGAGTTGACTGCAACCATGGTGACCCTATGTACAACAGAACAAAATGTTGCCCGGTCCTGTCATCCTCACCATCTCTGACATGTTTGAGTCCATCACAGCGGCTATTGTGCCAATCCACCTCACCGAGGGTCTCCATCGCTGGCGCTCTGTTTCACCAAACATGATGTCCTCCTCCAGTACTTGGTCCCTCCTGATGACATGTCCAAAGCAAGCAAGTCAGACAAAGTTCTGTTGTAGATCACCAGGCCTTTCCTCCTAGTCTATCTTAGTCTGGAAGTTCTGCTCAAACCTGTCTACCATGGGTGACCCGGCTCATATTTGAAATCCTGGTGGCATAGCTTCCAGCATGACAGCAACCCACCAGCCACCATAGTACCAAAAACTGTCAGGGTGGTGGGAATTTGATAAACAGATAAACAAAATGAAGCTTACTAGAGACCAAACACTCCTACAGGGGCTACAAGTTATGGTCCAGTTCTCTGGCCCAGCCTGCCCTTTGAGGCTACACCCCTAGGTGGCAAATGGGTATGTGTTATGGATTGAGTTTTGTCCCCCCAAAATATGTGTCAACTGGGTTAAGCCATGATTCCCTTCCCAGTATTGTGTGGTTGTCCTCCATTTGTGATCTGATGTGATTATCCTATGTGTTGTAAATCCTACCTCTATGATGTTAACGATGCATGATTAGAGGCAGTTGTGTTAATGAGGCAGGACACAATCTACAGGTTTAACTTGTATCTTGAGTCAATCTCTTTTGAGATGTAAAAGAGAGAAGCAAGCAGAGAGAGAGGGGGACCTCATACTGCCAAGAAAGAAAAGCCAGGAGCAGAGTGTGTCCTTTGGACCCAGGGTCCCTGTGCTGAGGAACTTCTGGACCCAAGGGAAGATTGATGACAAGGGCCTTCCCCCAGAGCCAACAGAGACAGAAAGGCTTCCCTTGGAGGTGGTGCCCTGAATTCAGACTTCTACCCTCCTAGACAGTGACAGAATAAATTCTGTTTGTTAAAGCCATCCACTTGTGGTATTTCTGTTATAGCAGCACTAGATAACTAAGACAGTGTGCTTCAACCAGATTCAGGAAAGCTTTGAAGATGTGTCATTAGATAGAAAAAGCCCTCCCAGCTCGTGCTTCAGACCCCTGGGTCTAATTTGTTTGGATCAGTCACAGGAGACCCCTGACACAGGCCACCTGGGCTATTGCCTTAGTTACCTAGTGCTGCTGTAACACAAATACCACAAGGGGGTGGCTTTAAAGAACAGAAATTTGTTTTCTCACAGTTCTGGAGGTTAAAGGTCCAAATCAGGGTCTCGACCGTGTGGATTCTTTCCTTGTCAGTAGCCCCTGGCACTTTTGGTTCCTTGACTTGTAGACGATCCTAACATGGCTTCTGTCTTCCCCCTGTTTGTGACTCTGTGTCCATTCTGGTCTTTTTATGACTCAGAAGTTATTAGGTTTAGGATCCACCCTTCACTGGTCTGACCTCAATAACATAAGAAAAGAAAAACCCTATTTCCAAACAGGATCACATCCACAGGTACAGGGGCCAGGAATTCAACAGATATTTTGGGGGGACACAATTCAATCCACAACAACTAGAGCTGTTTTTTCTCTTTCTTTGCTATTCCTCAGCATGCAGAAATCCCACCCAGGATGGCAAGTGGGGGTTGAGGGTAAAAATAAGACAAGATTCTAAACAGGGAGGTCCCCAGCCCATCTTACATGAAGACTCACCACAAACATCTCCACCCCAAACCATTTCCTCTGCTTAACTTCTCTGTATTTGTCAATGACAACGCTGTTCTCTATATCGCCATATTTCAAAATCAAATTTGAATTTCTCTTACTCTTCATCCTCTATACTCAAGTCTGTAGATTCTACCTCTGCAAATGTTTCTCCTCTTCATCATCTCCCGGTCATGCCCTCGTCCACCTTCTGCTCTGTCTGCAAGGAGGGACAATCCTCCACTTATTTATCTGGCTAACTCCTTCTTCAAAACCCACCTTACCCATTACCTTCCCCTTTCCTTTGAAGAACTGCCCTTCCTCCATTCCATGTGGGTCTGGTGAAGCCCAGGACAGCATCTCATCCCACCCTCAGCCATGCATATGGCACGCCAGCTGGGCTTGGCCTTGGTCACAGTGATTGGTCCAGGAGAGTGGGCTATGAGCCAAACTGGGCCAATCAGAGCCTTTCTCTGGGAATTTTGTTACACTGGGAGGAGGGGCTCTCTTTCACTTTTGGGATTGCTGGCTGAAATGATTGAAACCAGAAGGGAGGGGCCTGGATCATGCCTACTCCCTCCCCCTATCGCCAATACCTGGTACAACGCTGAATGAAGGCAAAGTTACTCAGCCAGTAAGCCCCTTAGCTGGTTCAGACTTCAAAGCCTGGCTGCGCCATAAAACATGACTTCTAATTTACAGTTCCCATTTCAATCCCGCAGGCTCACCACCAGGCCTTAGCCACAGGCGCTTTCTCCTGGGTCTCTAGCTCTGGGAGGCAAGGAAGAGCCAGGAGGGGACCCTGAGCTGACCTTGATAGGTGGGGCTTGTCACCTGTCCTTTGCCTCTCCCTGGGGCCAGTGCCCTCCCAGGGGCCTCTGGGCCCTGGAGCATGCTTTATTTTGTTCCTGACAAAGACCCAGGGTGTCCTCCTTCAGAGTCCTGCTCTCAGGCCCACAAGTACCTGGATACCACTCTGAAGGGAATGCTGGGACAGGACCCTCCCAGTAGCCTGTTGGGCTGTCATCATTGCAAGCTGAAATGTCAGGGGCTAAGTAGCACGTGTATTACTCAGTCGGCTGACTGGACAAGGTCAGATGGCAGGCGCACTCTCACCCCGAGTGTGCGACACATGGACCTCACTGTGCTGTGGACTCCTGCGTCTGGCCGCTGCTCCCTCCACTTTCCGACCTTGCTTGGATGTGTCCCTACACCCAGGCTCGACCTCGCATTCCACATTCCACACCCGTGGGGGCGGTTTCCCCAGTGGCCTCCGGTTCGTGATGATGCATCACGGTTTTGTCTGGTTCCCCTTTGGAGGAGAGTGAGCAACAGCTTCCTGGTGAGGCAGGTGGATAGGGCAGGTGGATAAGGCAGGTGAAAGTCATTGGCCACGAGGACAAGCCTGCATGGGGCACTGCATCTGTCCTCAGAGCTCCAGCCGCCCCTTGTCCAGCGGCATCTGCAGGGTTCTCTTTTCTCCCACGGCCCATTCCTCAAATGCCATCGCAGCACAATGGGGCTCTCTGTACCCACAACAAAGGGTCTGCAGGCCCCAGCAGATGGCTCACCTTTCCAAGCCCAAGCAAAAGGCCAAAATTCTAGTATAGCCAAAGAATGTTCTCCCTTGGGGCTCATCATCCCCGATCTCAGCAAGGGGTCCATCCCTGTGCCCAGGCTAATGCAGTATGGAGTTGGACTTTCTCTTGGGGCATTTCATCTGGATAGACTTTTCTCTCTAACTTGGCCTTGGCTCTACTGACCTTTTGAAAAATATTATTGTGGTAAACTCTATAGAACATAAAATTTGCCATTTTAACCATCTTTAAGTGTATAATTCAGTGATATTGATTACATTCACCCCAGAGGGCAACCATCACCACTATCCATTTCCAAATGTTTTTCATCACCCTGAATAGAAATTCAGTACCCCTTAAGCAATAACTCCCCGTTCTCTCAGTCCCTGGTAACCACTAACAAACTTTTGTCTCTATGCACTTGCCTGTTCTAGATATTTCATGTAAATGGGATACTACAACACTTGTTGTTTTGCTTATTGACATTTTGGAAGGGATAATTCTTGCAGTGGGGGGCTGACCTGTATGATATTGAGCAGCATCCCCAGCCTCTACCCACTAGAAGCCAGTAGCACCCCCTCCCCCTCCCCAGTTGTGTCAGCTCAAAGTGTCTCCAGAGAGTAACAAATGTCCCCTGGGGGGCAAAATTACTGTCCTAAGAGCAGTGCCAGAGCCCCCCTTCCTTATCCTATATAGTGAGGGGCCTATCACAGGACGGGGTCCCTGGGTGATGCAAATGGTCAACATGCTCAGCTCCTCACCGCAAGGTTGGAGGTTCAAGTCCATCCAGAGGCATCTCGGAAGAAAGGCCTGGCAATCTACTTCCAAAAACTCAGGCACTGAAAACCCCCTGGAGCACAGTTCTACTCTGACACTCAGGGAGTCACTGTGAGTCAGAATTGAGTGGATGGCAACTGGTTTTGGAGACTTTGCAGAGTGGGATGCAGGCGCTCTCTGCCTGCTGCCCGGATGGCAATGCTGGGCGGGAAGTGGAACTGGCCTAGCACACTCCTGTTTCAGGGCTGGGAGGTCTGGAGCGTGGGCTGTATGGTTGTAAGCTCTAGGGCTGGAGCTGGGTCTGAGGTCCCGCTCTGCCACTTATGGCCGTTGGACTTTGGCACGCTGCTTCCTTTCTTTGTGCCTCACCTGCCTCATCTGTAACATGGGGATGAAGGTGGGGATCTCATCCCTGGGGCCATTGTGAAGATGAAGCCTGGAATGCAGGGCCCAGAGAAAGCACTCAATACACGTGAACTGCAGTTACCATTTTCTCAAGGTCTACTCAATGCTTTTCCCTTCCGGCATTTTATAATTTTCTGTGTCAACTTAGCTATGGTTCCCAGTTGTCTCGCCAAATACTAGTCTAGTTGCTGTTCCATAATGTAATCTAATGTAAAATGCAATGTCATTCCTTTCCCTAATGTAATCTAATGTAATCAATCACTCAGTTGAAAAAGGAGTTTCCCTAGGAAGTGTTCTGCCTCCAGACTATAAATAGGTATTCTGGCAGAACTTTAGGCTGCACTCTTCCCATCTCCTGATCTACGAATCTTGGCACATAAGCCTGCAGGAGTCCTCTGGCTTGTCACCTGACCTGTGGATTTTGGGACTTACCAGCCCTTCACAATTGTGTGAGCCAATTCCTTAAAGAAAATCCTTATCTATCTACCCATCCATCCATCTGTCTACGTGTGTGTCAAGAAATCAAATGACATATTACATTGAGCAAATCTGCTGCAAAAGACCTCTTTAAAGTTTTAAGAAGTGAAGATATTACTTTGAGGACTAAGGTGCACCTGATCCAAGCCATGGTATTTTCAATCACCTCATATGCATGCGAAAGCTGGACAATGAATAAGGGAGACTGAAGACGAATTGATGAATTTGAATTATGATGTTCGCGAATAACATTGAATACACCACGGACTGCCAGAACAAACAAATCTGTCTTGAAGGAAGTACACCCAGAGTGCTCCTTAGAAACGAGGACAGCAAGACTTGTCTCACATACTCTGGGCATTTCATCAGGAGGGACCAGTCCCTGGAGATGGACATCATGCTTGGTAAAGTAGGTCAACGAAAAAGAGGAAGACCCTCAATGAGATGGACTGACACAGGGCTGTAACAACGGGCTCAAACATAGCAACGATGGTGAGGATGGCACAGGACCGGGTAGTGTTTCCTTCCCCTGTGCGTAGGGTCGCTATGAGTTGAAGTTGACTCGATGGCACCCAACAACAACAAATCTATGTGTGTGTATATCTGTCTCACTGGTTTTGTTTCTCTAGAGAACCCTCAGACAGGCATGAAGGGCAGCTGGCCCTGGGTCCCTCCCCAACAATATTCTTACACAGGCATTTTTAAAAGGACACTTAGGACCCCTGTCAGGATCACCTGACATCCACGGACTGATCAGTGTTCAGGGGACTGCTCCTTGGGCAAAGTAGGCTCTTAGGCGCCGTCTCGCCCTACCACTGTCTCTGGCCATGGTCACCAACTGCTCTGTTGCATGTGGATTCAAGTGACACCTGGATAGCCCACTGCCCAGTGCCCGGCCCACGGTCAACAGCCGTGCAAGGCTTAGGAGTGAGCCCGCCTGGGCTCCTGTCCCCACTCTGCCCCTTACCAGCTCCATGACCTCCACCATGTTCCTGCATCTCTCCCTGAACCTCTGCTTCCTCCTCTGTAGATAAGGAACCCTGGTGGTTAAAGTACTCAGCTGTTAACCAAAAGGTCAGTGGTTCGAACCCACCAGCCACACCAAGGGAAAAAGATGTGGCAGTCTGCTTCCATAAAGATTACAGCCTTGGAAACCCTACGGGGCAGTTCTCTGTACCATAGGGTCGCTGTGAGTTGGAATCAACTCGACGGCAATGGGTTTGGTTTGGTTTTTTAAAGTAAGTACAGCCCTCACAGGGAGTTGTTAAGGCTGATGTCAGAAAACGTAAGGCGGTCTGAGCAAAGGATGCATATTGAGCACTAGCTGTTGGCATTGTTGTCGTTAATTTAATCTTACAAGAATAAGATGATGGGAAGCTTGGAGCAAACAAGAATAACCACACTCATTTCACCAATGGCTCTGACACACACTCAGCACTCCGACGTGGCCGTGTGCAAAAGTGCCGGGGGGCGTGGCTTTGACAGATATGTTCTAAGTGGATGGACTTTCTCAGTTCCCGCCTTGTATGTGGATGGGAGAGGTCACTATGGGGGCAGGTGAAGGCCCCCCTCAGTCTTTCTAAGGCCTTGCCATGGCTAAGACAAGCCCCACTGAGGCTGTGTAAGCTTGCGAAGGAAGACGATTCTCAAGGTATCTAAGAAGATATCCAGGGCTAGGCTGGGAGGTGGCGTGGCCTCGGGGCTGGGGTTCATGGTGGCCAAGGCTGACGGGGGAGCAGAGTTGGGAGAAGCCCTGCCTCTTCCCTCCCTCCAAGCAGTTGTCTGGGATTCCCCAGTAAGTCAGTCTGGGCTAGTGATCTGCAAGGGGCAGGAGCAGGCCAGACCCCCAGTGACCCCCCCAGCCCTCCCTCGCACAGCGATGCTTTAAGGAGGGGCCCTGGCTCCCATGTGTAAACCCAGGACCATCCTCGGAGGTGGGAATGGAAGGCACACGTGTTATGGGGCCACAGCTGAAGGCTGACCTTCTAGGCTGGTATCTCCTTCTCACCCCCTTCTTCCTCTTCCCCAATCTCTTTGTCCGCCATCTCGTTCTCCTCCTCCTCCTCCTCCTCCTCCAGACTTTGCTTCTGTCAAAAGAAGACGCCACAAACTTGCTGCTGGCGGACAGGCCTTTCCCTGGGACGTTACCCCGAGAGCCCACGAGCAGCTAACTCCTTGCTGAGCTCCCTGGAGACAGTGCCGATGGCGCTGGGTCCGCGAGGGCCTCTGGGTGCTCAGAGCCAACGGATGGGGGAGGGGGCATGGCAGACTCGGGTACAAGGCCTCTGCTTCTGCTGCTTGCTGACTGGGCCACCTCGGGCTAGCTCCTTCCTGAGTCCTGACACCACAGCAATAAGGTGGGCCTGACACCTGGCAGGGCTGAGGCTAGGATCAGAGATAATGGCATCAGGGCCCAACATACAGGAAGCATACGCCCTGCTCGGTCATACAGGGCCCCACGCTTAGAAGGGCTCCAAGCTTAGTTTAATGCTCGGCTATTTCCATCTTGAAATTCTTTGTAATTTTTTAATAAGGGTCCTCGATTCTCATTTTGCACTAGGCCCTGCAAATTATGCAGCCAGCCCTGCTCACAAGGATAGGTACTGGCTTAGCTCGCTTGTTCTTTCCCTCTCCATGCTGTTCTCTTGCTTGTTCACATCTTGGTGTTGTGTCTGTGGGCCCCTAAAGGCAACGGCCCGTCCTGACACCTTCCTTTCTGTCTCTGTTCCCTGGCTGGTACAAGAGGGCCTGGGAGGCAGCCAGACACCATCTTTGTAGCTCAGTCTCCTCGTTTTCCAGATGGAAAACTAAGGAACCAAGAAGCGAGTGACCAGCCCAGGTGATAAGCTAAAAGCTGGGGCCACGTGCAGATGAGCTAAATCAAGTCACACCCGACACCAGGCCTGGGGGAGCCAGGCCAACACACCCATGGCGTTCACAGCCCCTTTCTGGGGACCTCAAAGCTCGCTCATATCTAACAGTTCACTTATCCCCAAATCCTCACTCAGTGGGTTAGCATGCATGTTCAAGTTTCACCCCAGGGAGAGGCGAACGCCAGCATGGACTGAGGTGACTGCCCCCAAGAAGCCTGAAGTCTGTTTGGAGACTTAGGCTTCCTCTGGAGGCTTGGAGCAATTCCTCCCACCTGCCAGATGGACAAATTAAGGGCCACCCTGCAAGGCTCGCACAGAGCTCAAGGCCACTCTGGAAGCGAGCCAGCAGAGCCGAGCCCAGGAGCCACGGCTCCCTACCCCCAGCCCAACAGGCCCTGCTGTGGCCCAGCAGTCCCTGCTGTGACCCTACATGCTCTGGCTTCTTCTTCATGGCGTCCTTCTCCTTCCTCTTCAGCTCCGTGAAGATGACCTCGAAGAACTCCTCCTCGGCCTTGGTGACTAGCCCCTCCAGGTCTATGGCAGTCTCCTCCTCCCTCAGCTCGTCCTCCTTGCCCTCAGCCTTGCCCTTCTCTTTCAGCCGCATCTCTCGGTGCCTGGCCTCCAGGATCTTCTCCCGCCGGGTCTCACGTTCAAATACCTGGGCACACAGGGACAGAGAGGCCACTGAGGGAAGAGGCGGGGCAGCTTGCGGCTCCCAGCACTGGGGCCAGGCTGGGCTTTACCGAGTGCTCCCTGCTCCACTCATGACAGCCTCTAAAGAGGTCTGTGCTCAGGGCTAATATCGGGGTCAGAAGGCAGAGCAGCCGGGTGCCAGGTTTCCCGATTCCAAGGAGCACCAAGTACACAGATGCAGGGTAAAGAACGCCCTTTGGAGCTGGGCAATGTGGCAGCCCTGGGCCCACGGAAGGAGTAGCTCAATGGAGAGACCAGTCCCACACAGGGCCAGGAGGTTCTCCCAGGGCCTGCACCAGGGGTTTTCAGTTCCACAGAGTGCCCCATGGCCCTGGGGAAGTGCCTCCAGGACATCTCAGCCCCCCAGTGCCCTGGCTGCAAGGTGGCTCCTTCCATTGGCTTTCTACTGGGATTCTGCTAAGCTTTCATTTGAAAGTTTGTATATATATGTGTGTGTATACATGTATACATATATAAGCATACATATATGTACGTGTGTGCATGTACATGTGTACATAGATGTGTATATATATAAAACCCGTTGCCGTCGAGTTGATTCTGACCCATAGCGTCCCTATATAGTGACCCTATAGGACAGAGTAGAATTGCCCCATAGGGTTTCCAAGGAGAGGCTGGTGGATTCAGACTGCCGACCTTTTGGTTAGCAGCTGAGCTCTTAACCACTGTGCCACCAGGGGTCCACAGATATATATTCAGACACTACAAACCTCTTATGATGCTCATTCCAGGACACCATGCGGCCTCCCCAGAAACACTCATCCATTTCCCCGGGGGTAGGCGGAAGGGGACATGGGTTTTCTCTAACTGGTCGCTTGCCATGGGGCTAGGTCAGACACAAGAAGGAGGGGCCTCGCCCCTGCGCAGGCACTTACAGAAGACGCTATGTTCTTCTCGTTCCTCTGGAGGGTAGAAAGCCCGTGCGAGACCTCCAGCAGGGTGGTGGTCCCCAGCCGGGAGCCACAGGCGATGAGACACCCGTTGTCCTGCACCCGGAGGCAGAAGAGGGCCTCATCACACACCTGTCAGAGGGGCCAGGGCGACCCAGGTAGGGGAAGAGAGAGGAGGAAAGTTACGTTTGTCTGACTAACTAATCCCTGCGGAGTCTTAGCCAAGCTGCCCTGTTCAAACACCCTCAGGGACTCCCCATGACCCACAGGAGGAAGGTCAAACACTGAGATTGCAGGTCAAGATCCTTCTCCATCAGCCTCACCTCCCACCAGCCCTTCACTCCAGCCCCACACTCCTCCTGAAGTTCCCACACGCCACACCTGCCATGGCCCCACGCCACGCATCTCAGCTCTGGCTCAGGACTCAGGCATAGAGAGTTAGCCACAGGGTCCCACTTCCAGAGACTCTGAAGAGACAGGCCTGGGGGGTAGGGGACGGCGGGCATCTGCTTTTTAATTTTTTAAAATTCCCCCCTGGTGATTCTCACCTTCCTAGGAACACACTCTTCCAAAGGCCAAGTGGTAGTCAGCCAGCATGGGACTTCCCAGAGAGACTCTCGAACCAAAGATACACCTGAACCCACGCACGGACGTATGTGCTCACACCACCCACGACACACCCCTACCCAGGTCCCTGCCTCAGAGGGGCCCCAGCTAACTGAGGGCCTGGGTGAACGAGAGAGTGGACATGACCTTCAGGCTGAGGGCTGGGTCACACTGCTTGAACACAAAGTCCCAGATGTCCAGGGTTCCATCCATCTTGGTGGTGAAGAAAACTGCCGGCCTTGAGGGGCTCCAGGCGCCGTCGGTGAGGTAAGCCATGTGGTACCTGTGGGCGGTCGGGCGCCATCCATCAGGGGCCAGTGTGGGTGAGGGGATGGAGAGGCTGCTTACCCAGAGTTCTGCTCTCTCAGCACCCCAGGCCCCAGGGTCTCTGAGCCTGAAGAAGCAGGAAGCTCTTCCTTGCGTTTGACTTCTAGCCATCAAAACCTCACCTGCCTACCACTCGTGGGCTGCATTTTAAAGGACTCTGAGACAGCCTTCCCTTGGGCTGGCTTGCCACTGGTGTTTCTCCACAGCTGGAGTCCCTGGGTGGTACAAACAGTTAATGCTCTCAACCAAAAGGTTGGTGGTTCGAGTTCACCCTGAGATGCCTTGGAAGAAAGTCCTAGCCATCTACTTCCATCGAAAACCTCACGGAGCACAGTTCTATTCTGACACACATGGGGCCGCCATGTCGAGTAACACCTCGACAGCAACTGGTTATGGTTAGCTCCTTGAGAACGAACAGGCAGCTGTTGCTAGCTCTGGGCCAGTCCCCTAGCTCGGGCTCAGCTGAAAGGAGTCATAGGAAGGACCTGCCCAGAAAAGTTCACGACACTGATTAGGAGTGTTATACTTCCTTCTTGGTTTATCCTAGATTTTCAAAAATTTCTGCAGTAAACATGGAATATTTTTGTAAGTAAACAGACATATACACACGGTGGAGACCGTAATTTTATGCATCTTCCATAGCAATACAGCTGTAGCTAGGCCCATGGCGGCCATGCCAGAGACTCCATTTCCCAGCCTCCTTTGCCACTAGGCTTGTCCACGGCTAGGCCACCATGGGAGGAGAGATCAAGACAAATGGAACCTCGCAGAGATTTCTGAGTTACAGGCTGCAGGGTTTTCAGGGCTGTCTAAATGAGCAGGCCAGGTAGGTAAGAGGAAGGCATGGTCCGGGGTAGAGATGCTAGATGAACTACAGGACACCCATTAAATTTCATTTTCAGATGAACAACGAATATTTTAGTACAGGTATGTCCCAAATACTGCATGGCAAATACTTACACCAAGAAAGCATTCATTGTTTGCACGAAATTCAAATTTAACCGGGCGTCCCGTATTTTTACTTGCTGTTGTTGTTGTTAGGTGCCATCGAGTCGATTGCAACTCACAGCGACCCTAAACCAGAACCAAAACCAAACCTGCTCATAAACCCAAAACCAAAACGCCAAACCCATTGCCATCGAATTGATTTCAACTCGGAGTAGAACTGCCCCATAGGGTTTCCAAGGAGCCACTGGTGGATTTGAACTACTGACCTTTTGCTTAGCAGCCAAACTCTTAACCACTACACCACCAGGGTTTCCATCCACACATAAGTACCTGCTAAATCTGTTTAATTCTATGGACAGAGAGACCAAGGGCAGGCCTGGGCTCCAGAACACAGGCTCACCAGCTCCCCCTAGGGGTGAATCCTGAGAAAGGCCCAGGGAGAGGGTGCTTCACACAACACTTTCTTCTCTCCTTCAGCGCAACCCGGCAGCCAGCAGGTGCCTGCAGAATCCAAGCCATGTCACAAAGGCTCGAAAAGTTTAGGGGAAGGGCTCCACTTCTACCCAGAACCTCCACGCAAGAGCCATTACTTTACGAAGTGACTGAATCCAGCCACATTCTACCACAAGCTCTGGTGTTTGTGGACAGGTGGGAAAGGGTAGGGATGATTTTCTCTGTTTTATGATGGATTCCTGGGCCAAGCTGGTCCCCTCCACCCTCCATCCCCCTCCCATCCCCATCCTCTGCACTTACTTGGTCCACATGATGGATGACTCCCGGCTGTCTTCAGACCAGATGCGGGTCGTCCAGTCCCCGACGGTCAGGAAGTTCTTCGGGTAGAAAGGGTTCCTCTGCAGGGCGTAGATGGGGCCGTGGTGGCCCGAGAAGGTGCACACGATCTTCTCGGCGGGCGTCTTGCCCTTACGGTTGCAGGAGATGACAATGCCCTGCTCTGTGCCTACCATGAATTTGGTTGGCTGTGGAGGGGGTGACACAGGGGTGGAAGGTCCCATGAAAAAATGGTGACTCAGGGCTTTGACAGCATGGAGAGCAGCCTGCTCTGAGGGCTCTGTGGGCGCTGGAAGGGGCCTCGGTAAAAGCCTCCGCTCAGGCTATGCACACTCCTAGAGAGCTATCCTCACTGTCCCCACCTCATCAGACCCCTCCCTTCTTTAGAACCTGCTCTAGTCCCTGGAGAGGCTTGTCACCAGCCCGCTCCACGGAGCATGATTATCTCCACTAAGCATTTTGCCATAAAGATCACGAACATTTGTTTTTATTTATAGATAACAAAAAAGGTCCAGAGATGGGACAGCCCCGTGTGTGTTAAGAGTAGAACTGTGCTCTGTAGAGTTTTCAATGGCTGATTTTTTGAAAGTAGATCATCAGGCCTTTCTTCTGAGGCACCTCTGGGTGGACTCAAACCTCCAACCTTTCAATTAGCAGGCAAGCGCATTAACTGTTTGCACCATCCAGGGACTCCTTCGACCAGATCATTCTGCAGATTGGTATAGCCTTACCTGGCAAGACAGTGACGCTGACCACGTTGTTATTGTTAGCTGATTTCGAGTCGGCTCCAACTCACGACGACCTTATGGATAACAGAAGGAAACGCTGCCTGGTCCTGCACCATCCTCAAAACCGTTGCTGTTTGAGCGCATTGTGGTGCTCGTGTCAATCCGTCTTACGGAGGGTTCCCTTCGTTTCCGCTGACCCTCTACTTTACCAGCCATGATGTCCTTTTCCAGCAGTTGGTCTTTGCTGGATTGGTGTCCAAAGTAAGCGAGCCAAAGTCTCACTGTCCTTGCTTCTAAGCAGCATTCTGGCTGTACTTCTTCTAAGACTGATTTGTTTGTTATTTTGGCGGCCCACGGTATAGTCAACATTGCTCACCAACACCACAATCCGAATGCATAATTCTCCTGTCTTCCAGCACCTACCATAGCACTGACTAAATCACACGTCCCCGCCTGGTGGTAACTCAGAGCAGGTGTCCACCCAGCACCCAGAAAATGACCTGCCAGTGAGTGCTTTGCCTCCCCTGCTGGTCTGGGAGCTCCTTGAGGGAGGAGGCTTGTCTTACTTGATTTTGTAGCCCAGTAGCTGGCATACAATAGTCGCTCAATATGTGTTTGTGGATTGCATGGAAGAAGGCAGGTCTCCGGACCCCTGAGCCAGGGCTCCCTCCAGGCCTCTGAGCACAACCCCTTCCATCATGCAATGCCATGTCTTGTTCACTGTTCCACCTCTTAATCTCCAGGCCAGACTATACATCTACACAGCAGGACCCACCATGCCCAAAATGAAAAGACCAGGTCAGCTTGGGATGGGAGGGGTTGTGCTGAGCAGGCAGAGGGGACAGGAGAGGTCTCGGCAGGCAGGCTGAGATGTCCCCTGTGGGTGATAAGCCGGCCCCTGCAGAGCTCCCAGATTAGAAGCCATCATGAGTTGAATTGCGTCCTCCAAAAAGATATGTTGAAGAAGTCCTAACCCCCAACCCCCATCTGTGAATGTGGCCTTATTTGGAAACAGGGTCTTTGCAGATGTAATTAAGTTGTTGTTGTCGTTGCTAGGTGCAGTGGAGTCGGCTCAGACTCACAGTGACCTTATGTACAACAGAACAAAACACTGCCTGGTCCTGCGCCATCCTCACAATCATTATGTTTGAGCCCATTATTGCGGCCACTATGTCAATCCATCTTGCTGAGGGTCTCCCCTAAATTCAATTAAGATGAGGTCATTAGGGTGGGTCCTAGTCCAATATGACTGATGTCCTTACAAGAGAAGAGACACAGAGACGCACAGAAGGAAGGTGCCCACGTGAAGATGGAGCAGGAACTCCTGGGGCCGCCGGGAGCTGGGAGAGACAAGGAAGGGACTTCCTCTAGAGCCTTCGAAGGCAGCGTGGCCCTGCCAACGCCTTGACTTTCAGACTTCTGGCTTCCAGGACTGTGAGAACATAAATTTCTGTTGCTTTAAGCCCCCCAGCAGGTGGTATTTTGTGCGTGGCAGACCTAGGACATGGTTCTAGAGACCGTCCAAACACGGCTCAGACAGGTGGGGCAGGCTGTCTGCGACTCACTGCTTTCTCTCTGGCTGAGCATCAGAGGGGAACACACCTTCTCCCCAGGGCTCCACTTGCCCCACAGCTCCCAGCTGTCCCCATGAACAGGGCCAAAGCTGCTGGCCCCCACCAGGAGGAAGGAAAGAGCCTTATCTAGCTCAGTCCTGGCTGGTTCAAAGACTAAGAAGCCTCGTCAGATGCAGTTGCTGCCACCAGGGGGAGCAGGAGGGCCCTGGAAATGCAGCCCCTAAAACCTGCTCTAAGGAGCCCTGGTGGCACAGTGGTTAGGCGCTAACCGAAGGGTTGGTTGTTCAAACCCACCAGCCACTCTGTGGGAGAAAGATGTGGCAGTCTGCTTCCATAAAGTTTACAGCCTAGGAAACCCTATGGGGCAGTTCTACTCTGTCTGATAGGGTTGCTATGAGTCCAAATCAACTCAACAGCAATGAGTTTTAAGCAGGGCTTTGAACCAGTTCATTCCATTTCAAACCCCTGCTAAGAATTTCATTTCTACATTTTATGTATTCTTATGTATACATAAGAGTCACCTGGGGATACATAAGAATCACCTGGGGTCTTGTTAAAATGTAGATTAGGATTCAGTGTATCTGGGGTGGAAATGCAAATTCTCAGCAGGGGTTCAAACTGGAATAAACCGATTCGAAGCCCTGCTTTTAGGACCCACTCTGAATAGGGGAGGGTCTGCCAAGACACCCCAAGGGGGCTTTGGCGTCAGAGCTCTGGGCTTGAGCGCCAGCTTCACCATGTACTACGGCACGTGACTTAACCTCACTAAGACTCACTTTGTTTATCTGTCGATTAGCGATGATAACATTACCTAACAAGATGGTTATGGGAGATTACATAATCTAATCACTCAAGGCGTTGGACATGTGCACTCAGTAAGGGACAGGCGTGCAGGAGGTGGGGGATAGTAGCAATTGGGTCATTATCATCTAGCACCTGGCCTAGAAATTCTTGCATCCAGGACAGAACGTTTTTCTCAGTCCTTCCCATCCCCAGCCTCCACGCCTGTGCTTCGTCCTCTTGTCCCAGGGTTGGGGGCTGGTTAAATAACCCTCCCCCTCATCCCACCAGCACTCAGCCTCAGCCTTGCGTGAGGACTCTCAGGGAGGGATGAGGCCAGAGTATCTCCCACTTCCCAGGGGCCGAGGGATGATGTCCTGTGACCCCGAGGCAAACAAGTGACAACCCCAAAGGGGAAACCAGGTCTGGTTTCAGTGAGACATAACCAGCAACCAGTCCAAGACAAAAGCCATCTGGAAAAGTGGTTCTCTTGCTTTTTCTTGGGGGGGTGGGGGTGGGGGGCTTCATCTGCTGCTTCTAGAAGATTCTCTCCTCTGACACATTAGCATTATGGCTCAACTTTGATATTTACAACTCCTTCCCAGATACTAAATGCTGTAATTACGCTCTGGGTGTCCCAGGAGCTTCTTCTGATATCACTTCCCTCTCCCAACACCCCTTCCTTCTCAAAAGAAAGTGAGATAACCAGCCCAGGGCCCCATGCCAGGTAGGGGCAGGGCCTGGGTCGGAGATCAGGCCTTCTGATGTCTGTCCTGGACATAGCTCTTCCCATAGGATGGAGCTTTCCTGAAATCCTGCCCTGGCCAAAGGAGTCCCCAGGTGGTGCAAAAGGTTCATGCACTCGCCTGCTAATTGAAAGGTTGAAGGTTGGAGTCCACCAAGAGTTGCCTCAGAAGAAAGCCCTGGCGAACTGCTTCCAAAAAATCGGCCATTGAAAACTCTACGGAGCACAGTTCTACACTGGCACTCACCAAAGTCGACTCGAACTCCAGGGAGATGGCGCCCAGGGCGTTTTCCAGCATCTCCTTTTTGGTGATGTCCATGATCACCACCTCGGTGGGCTCGCTCAGCTTCCGGATATCCCACCACATGACCTGACAGGGGAGGTGGCGACACTGAGACACCGAGGTCCCGCGATTTCCCCGGCTTTTGCTTTTCCCACCTCTCTGCCTGTTGACAAATGTTGAAGCACCTTCTCTTCGACACCAGGGCTCCCCACTGGGGCACAGAAGGGTGCTGATGGAGGCTCCCAGCCCCTTGTGAGAGCAAACACACCCTGAGAATGAGAATCACTGCTCTAGTCCACAGTTCCCAAACCTGGCTGAGCACCAGAGTTACCGGTGAGCTTCACAAAATCCAGTTGACCTACCGAACAAAAACTGCCAGGTGCAGGCCCAGGAATCTGTATTCTTAAAGGCTCCCCACAATACAGCAATACATAAACCCGTTCCTGTCATTGATTCCGACTCATAGTGGCCCTATAGGGCAGAGGAGAACCGCCCCACAGTGTTTCCAAGGCTGTAATCTTTTCAGAGTGGCTGGTGGGTTCGAGCCTACCTTTCTGTTGGTAGCCAAGCGCTTAACCACTGCACCACCAAGGTTGCTTTGGCAACACATAGCAACGTTAAAAATGCACATACTAGTATGTTAAAATGGTTGTCGTCGTTGTTAGATGCCATCGAGCTGATTTTCAACACATAGCGAGTCCATGTGACAGAGAAGAACTGAGTTTTCTAGGCTATAATCTTTACCAGAGCAAATCAAACAGGTCCTTTCTCCCAGCAGAGCCACTGGGTGGGTTTGAGCCACCACCCTTTCCGTTAGCGGCCGAGCACTTAACCATTGCACCACCAGGGCTCCTAATGTTTAAATGGTACTTTATTTTAATTTGTAGTTCTTTAATTATGAGTGACATTGAGAGATTTTAAGAAATCTTTAAGTGTTTTGGTTATTTGTATTTGTTCTTCTTTGAACTGGTTATATACTTTGCACATTTTTCTACTGGGCTGGTCATCTTTTTCTTATTGATATGCAATAGCTATTTGTATATTAAGGAAATTATCCTTTTGTCATTTGTGTTGCAAATAGATTTCCCAGTTTTTCCTTAATTTTTGCCCCATAAGAAGTTTTCAATTATTTTGTAATTAAATCTATCAATATTTTTAAAAGAAATCTGCACGTACGCTCTGCTTCAGAAATCCCACTGCCAGGAGTATATGCTATAGATGTACCTGTGGGTACGTGCAACCATCTACACAAATTTATTCTTTGCTACATTATAACAGCAAAAGATTAGATTCTACTTAAATTAGGATACACCCACATAATGCACTCCTTAACAGGCATGGGACAGCTTTTTATGAAGTATGAAATTGTCTCCCAAATATGTTAAGTAAAAAACAACAAGTGCAGAAGAGTGTGTAAGGCACAAAAAGTGCAATGAAGAAGACTACGTACTTGCTTGTATAAGCAAAAACTCTCTCTGGAAGCGCATGTAAGAAATGATACCAAGGGTTGCCTCCAGGAAGAGGGACTGGGAGGCATGGGGACAGAGGTGGGAAGGAGATGTGTCACTGCCTACCCTTTTGAATCTCTGGGGTTTTGTTCCACGTGCATGTGTTACCTGCTATTCAATTTAAAAAATAAAATGTCAAAGGAACGTTTCCCCCAGTGATTCCGATGGTGGACCAGGGCACGCCTACCGCTCCCCGCCCCCCACAGCACCTGGCCAGCTGGTACCTGCCCGTCTGTGGAGGCTGAGAAGCACTCAGTACCCGTCTTCGACTGCAACCAGATGGTGCCGTACACAGGGTCCCGGTGGCTGAACTCGATGGTGGACAGCTCCGCCACCATGCTACCCTTCCGGGTGTCCCAGCAGGCTGGCGGGGAAGGAAATGAAGGGGCAGTGAGAGGGGGCTTCCTTCCGGGTGCAGAGAGCAGGGGACAGAGGGGTGGTGCTTCCCTACGTTTGGCAGGTACGCAGGTTTCCAGAATCAGGGCGTGGTTCAAGCCGTCCTGAGAGTCCCACCAGCTCAACCTACGGAGAGACTTCCAGAGTCCACGCTTCATTCATTCTGTTGAGCCCCTACCATGTGTGGATCACTACTCTGGGCACTGGGGAAGCTCCTGGGCCAGGGCTGTGCAAATCAGGGAAGACCTGATAAGGCGCTAAGTTCTCACCTCTGGCTGACTTTGAAACTCTACACAGAGGCCAAGGCAAAGTTGTCAACTGCCTGGCTAAGTGCTTGAGGCATGTCCTAGCACACACAGAACCCCTAAGCAAAGGCTGGCAGATTTACTGGCTCCAAGTGTTTAAGGAAATCTCTATCCCATCACTAACTGACCACCAAGCTAACCAAGCAGAGTCTTCAGTGGCCACACACAACAAAGAATACAGATTTTATAGAATTAGTTCAGAAAATTTATTAGACAAACTAACAACAACAACTCAACAAACAGCAACAACAAAAAACCCTGGGAAGTAAGGAGAATCTGATTTCTAGAGTTGCCACGTCATATATTTGAAATGTACAGTTTTCAACAAAAAATTACAAGACATGCAAAGAAACAAAGATTATGACCCATACACAAGTGGAAAAAAGTAATAAGTAGAAAAGTCCCTGAGGAAGCCCAGATGTTGGGCTTACTAGAAAAAGACTTTAAATCAGCTATTTTAAAATATTTTCAAAGACATGAAGGAAACCATGCCTAAAGAATTAAAGGAAAGTGTGAAAACAATGTCATACCAAATAGAGAATATTAATAAACACATAAAAATTACCAAAAAAATAGACGTTTTGGAGTTGAAAAGAACAATAACTGAAACAAAAAAGGAGCTCAATTACAGATTTGAGCAGGCAGAAGAATCAATGAACTTAAATATAAACCAATTGAGATTATCCATTTCGAGGAGCAAAAGAAAAACAATGAAAGAAAATGAGCAGAGCCTCAGAGACCTGTGGGACCATCAAATGTACAACATATGCATAATGGGAGTCTCAGACAGGTGAGAAAGGGGCAGAAAAATATTTCAAGAAATAATGACTAAAAACTTCCCAGTTTTTATGTAGAACATTAATCTACACATCCAAGAAACTCCATGAACTTCAAGTAGGCATAAGGGCCACAGCATGGCCCATATCTACCAGCCTATAACCTCTGACCTACCTGAGTTTCTTCCTTTGGCATCCAAAGTCCTTTATGATCTGATCCCTACCCACCAGGCCAGCCCAACCTTCTGGGACTGTGCTGAGAGTACATAGAGTCCAAACTCACTAGACATTCCATGCCTCTACCTTTGTATGTGCTGGTCCTTCCACCAACAGTGTCCTTTCCTTGTGTTCCTCCTTCAGCCATCATTGCCTCCTCTATGCAGCCTTCCCAGGATGCCCCCATGCCCTGCCAACTGCCCATTCCCTAGGGAGAATTAGTATCTTCTTCCCTATGCTCCATTTCTATGACTCCTTCTGCACCCACTGCACTAAAAGATGATTAAATGATGATTGTCAGTTCCCTGAGACTGAGCTCCCTGAGGGCAGGGACTGCCTCTCATCATCCCTTTACCTCTGGCCCCTGTTACCATGCCTTGCTCAGGGAGGGTGCTCAGTAAATATTTGTTGACTGTATTTGGACTACTTTTTTTTAAACTTTTTATTTTGAACTGATTTTAGATTTATCTGAACTACTCCCGCTAGAGGCACTGCTGAGGTGTCCACACAACCTGACTCCCTTGGGCATCTGGAGTTGTTAGCTGTGGGATATCCCTGCCCACCTCCCTACTTCCACTTCTGTGCCTGACCCAAGCCCTGGCTAGCATGTGAGCCTGGCCCGGGCAGCTGCAGGGGCTGGGCTGCCTCAGAGCCCAGGCGGATGTTAGGTGGTCTCCTGGTTAACTCCCGGGTCCCTCCTTACCAATCTGCCCATTGTAGCAGCCTCCCAGAAGGACGTGGGAGTCCTTGGGGTTGTACTCCAACGTGATGAGGGGCGAAGTCGGCCTCAGGGCAATTTCAGGCTTGTTGGGATTTTCTATAAAGGAAAAAAAAAAAAAAAAAAAATCCCACCAGGCCTGGAAAGATAAGGACATGGTCAACAAGTTTAATCCTTTCTCCAGGCTGCAGCCTCTGGCCCCTGGTGACCAGAATCCAGCATCCTCAGCCCTAGAGCTCTTCTAAAGGTTTTATTTGATGATCAGATTTTGTGTGTGTGTGTGTGTGTGTGTGTGTGTGTGTGTGTGTGTGTACGCTTTCATTATATTTCTAGTCCATTTCCCAGGTTTGATGTGAAACAAGTTTTTGACCCTAAGGTTTTTACATAAAGTCAACTCTCCACTAACCTCCAAGCCAGTTTCTTCATCCGTATATGGGGATAATAGAACAGTGGAACCCACCCATGGGATTGTAAGAACTCACTGAGCTTCAACACGCTTGGCACATACACCTACTAATAGGTGAGCGCCTACTAATAAAAGCTAATGTCTACTGTAATAATGGCGATGGTGAAGGGAAGTCTGAGTGTGAGATGCCACCACCAGCTGGTACCTGCCCAGGTGCTGGCCCGCAGAGTGAGCCCTTCGGTAAATGATGGTCTCTGCTCCCAAGTGCACCCACTGTCTCTGGCAGCCACGAATTACGGGGAAGTGTCAGGAAAGGTTGGACAAAAGGGGTCTCCTTGCCCTCCTTCTTGGGTCCCTTCTCAGTCTGCTGGGGACTCTTCCTGAGATGTTCTTCAGGGGCCAAGAAGTGGGAGACCATGGGTCTAGTCTTTAGAGCCCTGACGAAGGATCTGGAAATGGAGGTACTTTCTTACTTCTGATTTGGCTTTGCTGGGCTGCACCTGAACCCAGGCAGGAAGGGGAGGAGACAAATGGCTTCCTCCTCAGTCCCTGCCCTCTCCCTATGAGGGACAGCTCTGTGAGTGTCCTCTATCCCTGCTTCCACCTGCCACCCCCCTACTCTCGCTGGCCCCTGCCTGTACCCTCAGCCCTCCCTGGCCAATGAGACCCCTCACTTCTCACCCATGTCCCAGATGTATGAATCAAGGCTCATGCCCACAGGTGCCCGCTGAAAATCCAAGCAAGAATATGCCACCGCCAACTTCCGGTTGCCATCAGGGTGCCAGGAGAGGTGCGTGGCTGCCCGCTTGATATCCTGGGGATCCCTTTAGGAGAGAACAAAGAAGCCAGCGGACTGAAGTACAGTGCCCTTAAACGTCTGTCTGTCTTTTTTTTTTTCAGTTGTGGCACAATATATATTTTAAAAAATTTCCATTCCAATTTTCTTATTTACTGAACATTTCCTTTTCAAAAAATTCAAATGTATTTAAGCAATTACATTCACTCAGAGAAATTTATTTTAAAAACAAAGTTCATAGGACTCCCATAAATAGAAAAAACCAATCTTACCAGCCATAAATAAAAGGTAATGATAAAAATTAAAACAGTGGAACTGGAATATTAAATTCTACCTGCTGAAAGTTTTGAGCCTGAGGCGTGATTTCCCACTGTTATTTACAAAAGGTAGGGGAGGGGGATGAGCAAGAATTGGAAAAGTGTTAAAGACTGAATAGCCCCAAACTGAGACCTTGTGCTTGAAGTAAAGGGAAGCAATGAATGAAAGCAGGAAAGGAAATAACTCTCTCACCTCAGGATTCAACCGCTTTGTTCCTCCCTGGGTGCACTCTTACGGAAGAGCCAGGCTGGGGCTCAGGAGACCGAGTTCCAGCCTTGGTTGGTCACCACCCACCGGCTGGCCCCCATCCACCGTGTGCCTTTGAGCACCTCCCCTCCCTGGGCTCTGTTTCTTCACCTGTAAAGTGTGGAGCTTGGACGGGATGATTTCTAATATATCATCCTGCTCGGATGATCCATATACGAGGTCAGACCACTGCTGCAGGCAATGGAGGAAGGACAGCCCCTGCCTCCAGGCCCTTCTTCTGCACATCCCTTGCTGCCAGCCCTCCCCTCTGCCCTGCCCTCTGCTCAGCAAGTCACCAGTCACCCTGCACCTGAATGGGTTCTTTCACTCTCAGTGCAGGTTATCTGCGGGAAAACTTCCTGCTGGCAAACTGCTGTCCTTCGAGGTTATTCCCAGGTATACGCCCATCAGTGTTGGACCAGAGTCCTGTTTGCCCGCAGTGCTGCTGGGTCACGGGTGTCCCATACTTTGTCCTAACTATATTGCTGTTGTTGTTAGGTACCATTGAGTTGGCTCCCACTCATGGCAACTCTATGTATAACAGAACAAAATGTTGCCCAATCCTGTACCATCCTCACAACAGTAGGTATGTTTGAACCCATTATTGCAGCCACTGTGTCAATCCATCTCATAGAGGGTCTCCTTCTTTCTCGCTGACCCTCTACTTTACCAAGCATGATGTCTTTCTCCAGCGATTGGTCCCTCCTGATGACATGTCCCAAAGTAAGCAAGACAAAGTCTTGCCATCCTTGCTTCTGAGTACTTCCTCTAAGACAGATTTGTTCATTCTTCTGGCAGTCCACGGTGTATTCAATATTCTTCACCAACACTACAGTTCAAAGGTGTCAGTTCTTCTTTGGTCTTCCTTATTCATTGTCCAGCTTTCACACGCACATGAGGCGATTGAAAATATCATAGCTTGGGTCAGGCGCACCTTAGTCATCAAAGTGGCATCTTTGCTTTTGAACACTTTAAAGAGGTATTTTGCAGCAGATTTGTCCAATGCAATATGTCATTTGATTTCTTTGCTGCTTCCATGGGCGTTGATTGAAATCCTCATAGAAATCCAAGTAGAATGAAATCTTTGACAACTTTGATTTGTTCACTGTCTATCATGATGTTTACGGGCCCAGCTGTGATGATTTTTCTCTATACTCCAAGAATCGACACCTATTCCTACACCACTTTGCAAATTCCCTTAGTCTTTCGCCAGAGTCTGCCCTCCCCTTCCATCAGCCAAACCCACCTCCAGGGTAAGGACTTCTCCACTGGGCTCTTAACGCTGTGTTCCTTATCAGGCTCTGGGCATACAGGGGATTGTACCCATGGCTCAGGGTAATTGGCAAGGAGTAGGTTACTTTAGGAGCACCTGCCCACAGGGGAGGAGCCCTGGTGGCACAGTAGTTAAGAGCTTGGCTGCTAACCAAAAGGTCAGCAGTTTGAATCCACCAGCTGCTCCTTAGAAACCCTATGGGGGCAGTTCTACTCTGTCCTATAGAGTCACTATGAATCAGAATCGACTCGACAGTGATAGGTTTGGTTTAGTTTTGGCCCACAGGAGTGACAGAATTGGCCAGACACCTGCCTGGCTATCGAGGTACCTGAAAACATTGATAGTTTTAGCCGAAGGGGCCTCATCCGTCACCTCCACCGGGTCCTCATCATCAAAGTACTCCTCGTAAATGTCGATGGCATTGTTCTGCTTGATGCAGTGCTCCATGATCTGAGAAGAACACACTGGACAGTCTTAGCGGTCCTTCCAGGGAGGTCCTTCCAGACTGACTAGGCCTGGAATGGAGTCTGGAAGGGGGATGCGAAGAAATATCTAGTGGACTTTTCCCATCCTTCTAGCCCATGCATTCTCAACCGGGGCGACATCGGCCCCAAGAGGGTGAAAACTGGCTCTTGCAGGGCAAAACAATATTAGTCTTTTTATGAGTGAGGAGCCCTGGTGGCGCAGTGGTTAAGAGCTCGGCTGCTAACCAAAAGATCGGCAGTTCGAATCTACCAGTTGCTCCTTGGAAACCCTATCGGGCAGTTCTGCTCTGTCCTATACGGTCGCTATGAGTCAGAATCGACTCAACAGCAATGGGTTTTATGAGCGAAGAACAGATCTACATACAGCACATAAACAGATACACAGTATACCTATGGCATTAAAATATGTTTAAAAGTATTTCTTCTTGAATATCAGTATTTTGTTGTTGTTGTTAGGTGCCGCTGAGTCAGTTCCAACTCATGGCAACCCCATGTGTTACAGAGTAGAACTGCTCCCGAGGGTTTTCTTGGCTGTCATCTTAATGAAACAGATTGCCAGGACTCTTCTTCCACAGTACCATTGGGTGGGTTCAAACCGCCAACCTTTAGGTTAGCAGTCAAGTATAAACCATCTGTGCCACCTGAGGACCTTTATGGCATCAATTTCACGGGGGGGAAGGAGGCGATCAGGAAACAAATACCTGAAAAGTAACTAGTTACTGTGCCTGGCAGACTAGAAGCTCAGTCCGAATTTGGTGACGGAATGAATGATCCCTATTGGCAGGGAGCTTCTGGGTGGGGTTCTTTTGGAGTCCTCTGCCCAAAGAGTTCCCCACTTTTCATACCAACATCAGTTGCCTTTGAGTTGACTCCAACTCATGGCAACCCCACGTGTGTCAGGGAAGTACTGTGCTCCATAGGGTTTTCAATGGCTGCCCTTTTGGAAGTAGGCTCCCAGGCCTTTCTTCAGAGGCACCTCTGGGTGGACACGAACCTCTAATTTCAGTTAGCAGCTGAGTGCCTTAACCCTTTGCACCACCCAGGGACTCTCACTTTTCAGAATTCTCCCTACAGCCTGTTCAGCACTTGTGTCTCCCTGCCTTGTCTGTCCCTCCGTCTGCTACTGTGTCCCCAGACAGACGCCCCCTAAGGTCAGCAGCCGGGTCCCTTCCCCTGAAGAGCTACATGGACCCAGCACAGGGATGGGCACTTGATGGGGCTTGACCTCCCACATGGGAATGAAGTGACAGGTGGGACCCAGACAGATGGAGCTGAAGGAGCTTACCGAGCCGAGCTGTGTAATAGTGTTGATGTAGTTCTCGTCCTTCTCCACTTTCTTCCGGAAGCGGATGGTCTGTTCCAGCTCCAGGGGGTTCACATCCTTGGGCCAGCCCCCCTCGATGTGGTTAACCCCCCTGGTCTCCATCTCGAACCGCTCTGTGTTGGCCTAAACAGAGAGCTACAGGTGAGAAGATGCTCATCCAGGTGTGAGCATCTGGCCACCTCTGCAGACCAGGGCCTGGGACTCCCAGGTGGCCACTGGAATGGACCCATAACGTGCCCCTGACCAAAACCACCATGTTTTCAGGTTCTATCAGGAAACTTTCTGGCTCTCAGGCAGACACAGGTAGTCATGAAATGCCACCCTGTGGAGTCAGCAGCTTTGGACCTGATGATAGTGGCCACAGACAATCCAGTTCTGGCCTTATCTGAGTCCTAATGACCAGAGGAGCCCAGCCATCTGTCCTGTGAGATTCCAGTGAAAAAAAGAAGTAATATTCATTCTCCTCTCTGCCATTTACAACATCACAGAAATTGATGCATAAAAACAATTAAGAGTGGTGGCAGAGTAATTTGGAAAAGGATTGTGGTTAGGGTTGCACAACAAGATGAACGTAGAAAGATTGTTGAATTGGCAAATGTCTTGTTACACATATTTTTACCACACACGCAAAAAAAAAAACAATTAAGAGTTTTGATTTGCTTTACCCATCTGCTCACTATAGCAGGGACGATGGCCCTTGTGATTTTACTCCTTTCCATTTTTAAGTCGGCTCTCACAAAAGCTAAATGTCTCGACAGGGCGGGGCAGCTGACGGGAGAGCCCTGCTGTGGTGTGACCTCCATGGCGCCATCTTGTTTAGCTGGCTACGCCAAGGATGTAGGCGTCCTGGTCCCCTGACAGTAATTAGCTGTGGGAAAGCAAGGTCAGTTCATTTGAACTGTGAGTCATGGGCACCACCGCACCAACCTGACTGTTGAACGTCAGTTTTGGCCAAATTGAGCGTGATTTTTCACTCATAGAGTTTGGATGTGACTAAACGGGTTATCTCATTAAATCGAATTTTCCCTCAGCAGCTCTGACCTAATCAGGAGCTGATCACCTGATTCAGACAGATAGCTACTTGGGCTTCCAAACAGCATGATCACAGCGCTCAGTTCTCTCAACCTGAAATTTCCTTCATGCCAGAACTTTCTAGAAGACATTGTTCTCTTTTCAAGTTGCCTGCTAGCTTTGAATCCCTGTCCCCTCAGAACACCTCTCCCAGCTGTACCAAACGCCTGAAACGCTGAGTACCTTCCTGAGTCTGGGCACTGTGGTGGGTCTGGGGTGACTCTGTCCTCTCACCTCCAGCATCTGCATTGATCCGCTTTAACTGGCCTCCAGGTGGACAGGGACACCCAATCCCACTGACCTGCACAGCCCGCCACCCCACAGACCTGGGGCAGGGACACACCTCGTGCTCTGACATGTTGGTGGAGCACTGGATGCCCGTGTCCACAGGGTTCCGCTCCACAAACTGCTCGGCCAGCTCGGGGTTGGGCTGGATGTCTATGTTCAGCTCGGCCTGGCGGTCCGAGAAGTTGCATTGCTTCCCAAACTCGCTGCGCTTCTTGAGGTACACGTACACGATCTCCATGGTGCCAGCTGCAAGGGCAGAGGACAGTTGTGCGAGGGCCCAGCCTGGCTGCTTCCGGTCTCCACGGGTCTCACCAGGGGTGTCCCCAGGATCTCAATCTGGTTGGGGGTGAGGGGTCTGTCATGGATTGAATTGTGTCCTCCAGGAAAGATATGTTAAAGCCCCAATCCCTGGCAACAGTGAGCATGACATTGTTTGGAAATAGGGTCTTTGAAGATGATATCAGTTAACACGAGGTCATACTGGAATAGGATGCATCCCAGGCCAATATCAGTGGTGTCCTTATAAAAGAGGAGGAGAGGCACAGATGGAAGGAAGATGGCCATATGCCAATGGACTTACACTCCAGCTGCAAGCCAAGGAACACCGGTCAGGAGAGACAAGAAAGGATCTTCCCCGAGAGCCTTCAAAAGAGCATGGTCTTACTGACACCCTGAATTCAGACTACTAGCCTCTAGAACTATGAGAATACATTTCTGTTCTTATAAGCACCCCTAAAAGCAAAACCCATCGCCATCGAGTCGATTCGGACTCATAGTGACCCTATAGCGACCCTATAGGACAGGGTAGAACTACCCATAGGGTTTTCAAGGCTGTAATCTTTATAGAAGCAGACCGCCACATTGTTCTCCCGCAGAGCGGCTGGTGGGTTCCAACAGCTGACCTCTCGGTTAGCAGCCGAGCTTAACCACTGTGCCACCAAGGCTCCTTTATAAGCACCAGGGTGATCTGTTACAGCAGCCATAGGGGACACATACGGCTGCATTTGTCAGAAGGCTGCATCTACAACGTTAAAAGTCATTTACTGAGTGCTGACTGTATGTTGTGTTCTCTTGTTCAAGCCTTACAATTGCCCTCTGAAATGGTCAATAAAACTACCATCTTACTTTGGAGGACTTTGAAGCTCAGAGATTTGTCCGATATAGAGCTGAAAGATGAGCCTCCTAGGTTGGGAGGCACCCAACGTACACAGTGGCCACAACCATGGACTTGAGCAGACTGATGATAATGAAGACAGCGCGGAACCGGGCGGCGCTTCGTTCTGATGGACGCAGGGTTGCCAAGAGTTGGAGCCGACTCGATGGCAGCTAACAGCGCAAAGCTCCTGGCCCTGCACGGGGTCCGAGGACAACAGCTGTTGGACGGGCGACTACGGGGTAGAGCGGAGAAGATAAATTTTACGAGAGCCTTTCTAGGGCAGGTATAAAGCCAGAGGTTTTTGGATTTTCATAATCGGGTGTTGCTATCTTTGACTGAAACAGAAAGCGGGCAGGAAAATGCTTAGAGGGGGGTATTCCTCTCTTTAAGAAAAATCCGTGGACAAATATCCAAACTTAAAAACAGATCAAACGCTATTATGCAACAGAAACCCTAAGGAAGTAATCCACTTTACAAAGCAACTTTGTAAAGGGATTATTGACCAAGAGTGTCCTCTAGGACACCCAAAATGAATTCTATTTTCAAGAAAAAAACCCATAAATCTAATAACACAAACTTCTCTAGGAATGCGTGGGTTTTTATAACATGCCAAACTGAACGCTTTATCTTCATTCTAATTATAGTCTTTATTATTTCACTTCTTCATTCAACATACATTTATCAAGACCAACTTTGAGTAATCAAGACAGTCTGGCATAAAGATAGACATACAGACCCATGAAATGGACTTGAGAGCCCAGAAAGAATCCCATACATCTATGGTCAATTGATTTCCACAAGGATGTCAATTCAATTCCATGGGGAAAGACCATTCAATGGGAGAAAGAATAGTGTCTTCAATAATGATGCTGAGACAACTGGACATCTACATGCCAAGAGGGAACGTAAATCCTTCCTTCACACCATCCACAACACTAACTCAAGATGGATCATTGGCGTAAATGTAAGAGCTAAAACTATAAAACTTTTTGAAGGAAACAGTAAATTTTCATGACCTTGGTTAGGCAAAGATTTCTTAGCTATGACATCAAAAGCAGGGCCCAGAAACCAAAACAATGATAAATGGGACTTCACTGCAATTAAAAACTTTTTCATTTCAAAAGACACCATTAAGAAAATGAAAATATGAGCCACAGATTTGGAGAAAATGTTTGCAAATCACATATCTGATAAAAGACTTTATCTAGAATATATAAAGACCTGCTAAGTTCCAGGCACCATGAACAGCCATTTGCGGGCACTCTCTTATTGCCTGCTCTCCACAATCCCCAAGGCAGTTACTATGATTCCCATTTTACAGATGAAGAAACTGATGCCCGGGGAGATTAAATGACTTGTCCAAGGTCACAGTTCTTAAATCTAGGCAGAGTCAGGACAAAGGCCCACCTGGTTCTAAAGCTGTGATTCTTAACCTTGCTTACACATTTAGAAACACCTGGAGGGCTTTGAAAAATCATGATGCCTAGGCTGAACCCCAGACCAACTAAATCAGAATTTCTCGTCAGTATTTTTTAAAGCTCCCCAGGTAACTCCAATGTGCAGCCAAAGTTGAGAACCACTGATTTAAAGTGGGAAGCTCTTAATGTCTCAAACTCGGGGTGCTCGTTAAAAATATACAGATTCCCAAGCCCCACTTCTGCAAATGCTGTTCTGTATGTGATCAGATGTGTGTCTAATCCACCTTCCCCCACCCCCAGGGCTTCAAGGAAGCAGACCAGGGGGCCCCAACTGCTGGGATCTGGGATTAGGGCCAAGAGCTGTGCAAGAACCTAGAAGGAGGTGCCAGAGGCAGCCTTGGGCTCTGAGGCAGCTCCTAGGTCCCTTTGCATCCACACAAGTGTTCCTGGAAGGCAACACCGCCCCATCCAACCCTCAGCCCCAGCACAGCTCAGCCTGAACCAGACTCTCATGGAAAACAATTTGTCCCTCTTTCTTGTGGGTTTGAAACCCTCTGGCCTGGGTCAGAGCAATGGCTTGGAGGGCAGAGAAGGGGAAAAGGTAAAATTGCAGCAGGTGGCCCTAATGGGTTTATCTCACGTGGACAAAGAGAGGACCTGGTGAAAAAGAATGCAAATTCAGTTACAGTCTCTCCCTCTGCCACCACATTGTCACAGCTCAGCACCTGTGCCCACCCCCACCAGCCCCACACAGACTGGGGCAATTACGGGCTGTCTGTCTTTCCTTTAAAATGACAAGCGCTGTGAGCCAGCCGGCTCCCAGGGGATGCAAGAAGGCTTGAGAGAACAAGAAAACTCCAGGAAGACATAAATAGCCTCTTTGGCCCAGATCATCTTTTTAACAGCTTTGCCTTCCTTCTCGATGCTTCCCGAGCCCAAGCCAGGGCGAGAACAGACGCATTGTCTGCTTGTCTGGAGGCAGACAGAGGGGATATTTAAAAGCTGGCCCAGTGATGGGAAGACAGCTCATTCAAGAACCCAGACCAGGCTCTGTCTCACCAGCTAGCAGGGCACCAAGATCAATATCAAGGTCAGCACAGGGGGTCTCAGGAGGTGTCCCCCCTCTCCATGAGACAAGCGCCACAGGGTGGTTTCCCCAAACGGTGCTGGGGGCAGGGGGTTGTCTGTACAGGGGGCTACGCAGGAGGCGGGGGCAGAGTCACTGCCCTCTGGGCGTTTCGGAGGAGGCTGCCCACCATTGGAACCACCAGACCCAGAGGCATGCTGAATGCAGCGGTGAGTCTCAAACACAAGGACGCACAGAGCCGGACTGCACTGGTCCCAACATCAAAAACGCAGCGTCTCCTGCATCCCAAGGCAGTCAGATTGAAACCTTCCCCAGTTAGAGGAACGAACCTGCCCTTTTGTTTTGATAATCAACAGAGTGATTCCTTAAAGAACCTCCCGGGCTTAAAAGAAAGTGGGTTTTCCGAGCTAGGAGTGAGGCCAAGCCAGCGGGTGATGGTGGGAACGAGGGGTAGCAGCATGGTAGGTTGGTGGGAGGCCTGCTGGAGGGATGGCACAATGGACTCCATAAAGAGACAATTCTCCTCTTCTTGGCACCCAGGGGCAACCCCCTAGAGGAATCACAAGGAAGAGGGAGGCAGAGGAAGCACTTCCTTCCCTCTCTCTACGCCCTTCTGTACCTTCTGGAGTCCTGGGGTCCTGGTGGCTCAGTGGTTAAGTGCTAGATTTGGGCAGCTAACTGAAAGGTTGGCAGTTCAAACCAACCAGCTGCTCTGTGGGAGAAAGATGTGGCAATCTGCTACCATAAAGATTACAGCCTTGGAACCCCTATGGGGCAGCTCTGATCTGTCCTATAGTGTCACTATGAGTCCGACTCAATGGCAACACTGGCCGACCTCCCTAGGGATTCCCCCACCCCCGCATACTTTCTGCTAGGTTAATGCTAGTAACATTGGCGTCAACCTGGGGTGAACCTCACCAGGGAGATGGAAGATGACAGGGACCGTGGGAGGAAGTCCCCCCAGAACTGGAAGGGGACATGGGATCAACCAGGAAGGTGGAGACTGAGGACAGGAGAGGGTGGGAGGAGGTCCCCCAGACCTGGAGGGGGACGTGGATATAATGTTTACCTGCCCTCCCGTGACAATGTTGTGTCCTTGAGGGACAGGCTGTGGTCTTTTCCTTCCCCTCCTATCCCCAGTTGCCTGGCACGGAGAAGGGACCCAATACTCATTTTGTCACATGCTGAGTGCCTAGACATGAAGACAAACCCTATACCAGGCCCTCCTTTAGAGCTCCTCATGGCTCCTCCTCTTCCTCTTCCTATGTGAAAAATAAAGTACAATGATCCCAAAGAGTGGGGGGGGGATGCGGGGGGATACAGTCTCTGAAGGCGCGGAGAAGAATGCACCTCTTCAGTTCAAGAGCAAGCGATAAACTTTGAGGAAGGAGGAAGATGCACAGGGTACGTGTCCTTGAGCGTGGTACTCATCTGTATAATGGGCACAAGAATGCCCATTCCGGGGTTGAGGAATAAATGAAGTGATGAATTTAAAGCACCTGCCACCTAGTAGGATGCTTAATAATTATTAATATGCTGCCTCCCATTCTTTTCAGAAAGTTCTCTTAACCGGCCCATCCTC